TGACAGAATGAGAAGAATACTGCACAATCTATAATAAGAATATAAAATCTTAACAAACCACTCTCAATTGCTGCTAGAATCGGGAGACAGAAAACCCCCACAAAACAGTGTATATATGAAAGATTTAGATAATAAAAATAAATTTGATCTCAGTTGAATGCATGGAATACTGAAAGAGATAACCTCAGTTGTACACAAAGTCTTTTAGAAAATGGTAAATGAGAGAACATTTCTAAGCTCATTTAATGAGACTAGCAAAATCTTTTTATACCTAATAAGAGTATTGAGGAGAGAATTATAGATCAATCTCTCTCATAAGAGAAGCAAAATTCTATACAAAATACTAACATTTCAAATAAGCTGATATATTAATGAAGTTTATGTGTAACATCAAAGTGTGTGTTCGTTGCTCAGTTGCGTCTGACTCTTGGTGACACTATGCTCTGTAGGTCACCAGGTTCCTCTGTCTATTGGATTCCCCGGAAAAGAATACAGGAATGGGTCGCCATATCCTTCTCCAGGGGATCTTCCCAACCCAGGAATTGAACTCTGCTTCAAAATGGGTTTTATTCCAACTTTACAAGTATGGAACATGTACAGGTCAATCACTAATCCACCACACTAAACAAAAAAGGGAGAAAAATCATATGATTATCTCGATCAATATTTTTTAAAAAAACATATAAAATACTTCTATATAGAAAATCACAACACATCATTGAGACAGGTTAAAGAAGATATAAAAACATGTAGGGATATATTATGTTCAGTGATTAGAAGACTCAGTGTTGAAAAGCTATTACTATCTGTTTAAAGCTATCAGTATCTATAATTTTAATGTAAATTCATTAAAAACACCAGAAGTTTTATTAATCAGATTTTAGAACTTGTATGGAAATGCAGAATATCAAGTATAGCCCAGGGGATCTTAAGGAAAAGAAAGTTAAAAAAATTAGACTACCTGATATGAAAATTTGCTATACCACAATAGTGATTTAAACAGTGTGGTTCTGGCACATGTGTAGATCCATAAACCAGCAGAACATATCAGAGACTTTAAAAAGGGCTAAATGGATTCATATGTGGTTACCTGATTTATGACAAAGTTTAGCGAGGGTAGGAAGGATATTTCCAATTAATGATTCTGAGTCAATTACTTATCCATATGGGAAAAAATAATCATGGCTCCTATGTTACATTATATTAAAAAATCAGTTCTAGATAAACTGTATATGTTAAAAGAAGAAGAAGAAAATACTAGTATACTAGGTTAAGATAGTATACTATCCTTATTACTTTTGAGTAGCCTGGCTCCTTACCAGGACATGAAGGTGCTGACTCTGAAGGTGCTGACTCTGTTAAATTACCAATTTAACAAACTGGTAATACCAAAAAGTAGATATTCTGTTCATCAAAAGATACCTATTAGGAAGTTAAAAGGAAAGTGGAAGAAGATATTTACAATACATATCTCTAATAAAGGAGTGATATCTAGGCTACATAAAGACTACTACCAATCAATAAGAAAAAGGCAGACGACCAAATAGAAATACGGTGAAAGACTTCAACAGGCACCTCACAAAACAGAATATCTAAGTGTCCAACAGATACATATGAATGTGCTCATCTTTATTATTCAGTAGGCTAAATGGAGATCAAAACCACAATGAAATACAATGATGTCTACAATTTTTATAATGGCAAAAATTAAAAGGACAGAAAATTCTGAATATTCTGGAGACTGTGGAGCACTGAAACTCTCCTATACTGTTAGTGAGAATTTATATCAGAAACTGTTTGTGGGTTTCACTGAAACAGAACTAATATACACCCTACAATCCATCAGTTACACACTTAGGTAAATTCCCAACAGAATTTCGAAAGTTATTTCTTTTCACAAAAGATGAAATGCATACTTATTTTCACAAAAGAAATTTATAAGAATGTTACAAGTAGCATTATTTATTTATTTATTTTTATTTTATATTGGAGTATAGTTGATTTACAATGTTGTGGTAGTTTCAAGGGTACAGGAAAGTGATTTAGTTACACATATACTTATATCTGACTTCCCAGGTTACGCCAGTGGTAGAGAACCCGCCTGCCAATGCAGGAGACTTAAGAGGTGCTGGTTTGATCCCTGGGTCAGGAAGATATCCTGGAGGAGGAAATGGCAACCCACTCCAGTATTCTTCCCTGGAAATTCCATGGACAGAGAAGTCTGGCGGGCTACATACAGTCCATGGGGTTGCAAAGAGTCAGACACAACTAAAGCGACTTAGCACATACATACATATCTATTCTTTTTCAGATTCTTTTCCATATAGGTTATTACATAGTATTAAGTAGAGTTCCCTGTGCTATACAGTAGATCCTTGTTGATTATCTATTTTATATATACTACTGTGTATATGTTAATCACAAACTCCTGATTTATCCCCCACACTCACCTTTCCCCTTTGGTAACCATAAGTTTCTTTTCTAAGTCTGTGAGTTTATTTCTGTTTTGTAAATAAGTTCATTTGTATCATTTTTTAGATTCCACATATAGGTGAGATCATATGATATTTGTCTTTGTCTGAACTACTTCATTTGATATGACAATGTCTAGATCCATCCAGGTCACTGCAAATGGCATTAATTCATTCCTTTTATGGCTGATAATATTGCATTGTATATATATGTACCACATCTTCTTTATCCATTCATTTGTTGATGGACATTTAGGTTACTTCCGTATCTTGGCTATTGTAAATAGTGCTGCAATGAACATTGAGGTGCATGTATCTTTTAGAAGTATGGTTTTCTCCGGATGCATGCTCAGGAGTGGGATTTCTGGATCATATGGTAGCTTTATCTTTATTTTTTTTAAGGAACCCCCCATAGTGTTCTCCCTAGTGGCTGTACCAATTTACATTCTCACTAAGGGTGTAGGATGGCTCCCTTTTCTCCACACCCTCATGTGCTTTTTGTCATCTATATGCTTTCTTTGTATATGTGTTGCCGAAGCGAGCACATATATACTTTCCTTGGAGAAATGTCTGTTTAGATCTCCTGCGTATTTTTTCAGAGAAGGCAATGGCACCCCACTCCAGTACTCTTGCCTGGAAAATCCCATGGATGGAGGAGCCTGGTAGGCTGCAGTCCATGGGGTCGCGGAGTTGGACATGACTGAGCGACTTCACTTTCACTTTTCACTTTTCATGCACTGGAAGAGGAAATGGCAACCCACTCCAGTGTTCTTGCCTGGCGAATCCCAGGGACGGGGGAGCCTGGTGGGCTGCCGTCTATGGGGTCGCACAGAGTCAGACACGACTGAAGCGACTTAGCAGCAGCAGCGGCATATTTTTTGTTTGGGTTGTTTATTTATTTTTTTTAATATTTAGCTGCATGAGCTATTTGTATATTTTGGAGATTAATCCCTTGTTGGTCGCAATGTTTGCAAATATTTTCTCCCATTCTCTGGGTTGTCTTTTCATTGCTTATGGTTTATAGTGTTATTTATAATGGCTCTATAAGTGGAAATAATGCTATTGTCCATCAACAATAGAATGGATAAATTGTGAAATATTCATGCAATGATACAATATACTAAATAAAACTATACACATGAATGAATCTTAAGCATAATGCTGAGTGCATTAAACTAGATACACACAAAAAAGGACACTGAATTTACCTAAAATTCAAAGTAGACAAACCTATTATATGGTTTTAGCTGTCAGGATAGTGATTGTCTTTGGTGATGGTACGGTTAAAATTCATTGAACTGTATATCTATATCTGAGCACTGTACTATAAGTATGTTAGTTTTCAATAATAATGTTTACATTAATTTAAATATTAGATTATATGAATACAAAGGAAAACTCAGTTCTTCCCTCCTCAGTCTTGTTCAGAAGGCAGAAGTAACTGAGTGACATAGTAGAGGTAAGCATGGTTGGTATGTTCCATGGGACAAAGGGGGATTACATACAACCTGAATTGAGAATGGAGATTAGTAAGGCTTCCCGGGAGAAATGATGACTCAATTGATCCTTAGAGTAGGAATTAACAAGGTATATCATGGTTGTTAATTGCAGGCAATAGAACTCACTTCAGCTGGTCTAAGCAGAAGGTGTTTATTAGAAGATAACAAGTTACAAAATATCATGGAATATCTGGGAACCAGGCTTCGCTGCTACAAAGACATGATCCATATAGACACAGAAAAATATCCAATACCACCATGAAATTAATAGGAGAAATATCATTGACTCTATTTTTTTCTGAAGTCCATGATGTATAGTACTGGACTCCTGTGCCATTACTGTCCCAGAGAAACCAGACATTTCTACTACTGTCTTGCCAAATAACCTAATCTCTCTATACACTGACATCCTTCACTTGCCTCCAAGTTTTGCAGTAGTGCAACAAACTGGTAGAAATGAACTCACTTACAGGTACTATAACGGAAGAAAACTGTACAGAAATTTTCTGACAGACCAGAAAGGGTTGGAATGGATGTTGAATGAGCTAATGTATGGGATCTGCTGCAAACCCAGTAAAAGGAATAGGAAAGTAAGAAATACAAAAAGAAGAAAGAGCAGATTTTAGGATATATTGGCATACGGCTATGTGAGTAGAACCAAATATCTTCACGGCCCCCCCTCCTTCTTCTCTTAGAAGCTGCACAACTTGCTTCTCCATGATGCAGGGCTTGTGTATTTCTGAGTGTGTGTGTGTGTGTAACTCTGGAGAACTTGGCAAATGATATCTGGACTAAGGCTAAGTTTCTTAATTTGAAAATCGGTATAGTGATACATATCAATACACAAAGCCCAGGACTGATTTGAGGGTTAAATGAGCCCATGTTCAGGTAAGCATCTCATGTAGTGCCTGTTATATACAAGAGATGTAACATAAACTTCTTTTATCTGAAAGAGAGAGATTATGGCAGTTGGTGAGAAAGGAGGACTTGGGACAGATGATGTGCAACTGATCATATTTTCTCCTTTTAGAAGCTGAAACTTCTAGGTAAATAAGTGGGAAAAAAATGGCAAGCAGAACTTATGATGGCACATTCCTCCTTGATCCAGATACGAAAAAAAAATAATTTCATCTTTACCTGACGGAACTACTTTTCTACAGAGAAAAATAAAAGGTGAGTGCAGTGATTATACATCACACAGAGCCAGTATAACAGGAGACAAGCTTTAATGTCAGTTACATGGAAATCCTATTCCATACCCAGGAGAGCAGGGGCTCTCTGGGGCCAGGTTATTATTATTTTTCAATTAGTCCTATTGAGGTATAAGTTTTATGCAAGAAAATTCACCAATTTTAACTGTACAGATCATTGAGCTTTGACAAATAACTACAATACAATATAAAACATCCCATCATCCCATAATTTCCCCCAGGCCCCTCTGAAGTCAGTCCCTTCACCTGAAAACGGCCTTGAGCCACACTGATCCTTCTGTCATATTGGTTTTGATTTTCTAGAAAAAGAAATCATTCAGCATGTGGTCTTTTGTGGCTGGCATCTTTTATTTAGTATGGTTCTCCACTTTATCACTGGTCCTCTAAAGAGCCTTTCTATACCTATTTCCTAATTATCTCTCCCCCTCTTATGAAATTTTAATACCACAGATATACTGTTTGTGTGTTTATATACTACATGCATACCTGCATTTTATACACTAAAAATAAAATTTTTCACACTCCCAGAACAAACATTATTCCCCTTGGAGGCAATATTGCCCAGTTGAGAATATATGATTTAGTATGATGCTTTTTTGATTCATCAGTATTATATCAGCAGTTGGTTCATTTTTATTGCTTTGTGTTTGATTGTATGAAGAGACATTCAAGAATGAATAGAATAATTGTGAATGTGTTACAAAGGTCAGGGATTAACCACGTAATTCAATTACTGTTCTTCCTTAACTTTGATCCTTGGTTTCCCTGGTATTAGTAAACAGACCTCTTATCACACAGCTGTTCAAGCAAGAAATCTAGGAGTGATTGAGATACTTCCTTTCCCTTCATTTCTCCATATACAATTATGTCAAATTCTGTCAATTTAACCTCTAGATTATTTCTTGAATCTGGTCTCAAGGGATTGGATTTTGCTATAATCCAGAACATTCTAGACATATTAAGAATTTTGATTTTTACCTTAAAAGAAATGGGAGGCCACTGAAGGAATTTAAATAAAGTAAAGTGACTTGATTAGTATAATTAAAAATTAAGATGTCTTTTATTTAGTAAATAGCAATTTAGAGTGTAGATAATAATTAAATCACTTCCCAGGTGGCATAGTGATTAAAAATCTGCCTCCCAAAGCAAGAGACGCAAGAAATGGCGGTTCAGTCTCTGGGTCGGGAAGATCCCCTGGAGGAGGAAATGGCAACCAGTATTCTTGTCTGGAAAATTCCATGGACAGAAAAGCCTAGCGGGTTAACGGTCCATGGGGTTGCAAAGAGTCGGACACGACTGAGTGATTGGGCACACACACAGTAATTAGAAGGGACAAAGACTACATAGGGAAAGGATCTTGCAGAAGTGCAGAGGAAAACGGATAGTGGTTGTTTTATGAATTTAAGGGTGGGTGATGGGAAAATTAGGAGACATGCTGTGGTCTCGGGGGGCCCATGATAAGAACTTAGTCAAGCTCTCACTGTTAGATGATAATGTAACTGCGATGAGAAATTTAGATAAACCCTCCTATTGCTTTCTGCTGCCTTGATTTAGTCTTTTTTTCTTTTTTTTTTGCCAAACAAATCATATCTAAAGAAATAAAGTATAAATATTCTTGGATCATTTGCTGATGAGTTGGAAGGAATTAGAGAATTAGAATGATACTTAAAAGAAAAAATATTTTGTGTACTTAATGAATCTACTTTGCTTTCCATCCATCTTAGGATATTTCCACCCCCCCGCCCCCCCCAACAGTGGTTACTGCAATACTAGTATCGATGTATCAACTTCAAATGGTCTGAAGTCAACCTTTACGCAAATAGTTTTGACTGTATAGATATACATGTATCTCTGGGGGCCTCTCAAAGTGGTCTTTAACCTATTAAAGGTCAAGAATCAACGACTTACTGTGTTTTCAGTGTAGAGTACCCAGAAATGCATATGACAATAGTTCTCATTCTTAAGGCACATAAGGTTTACATCATGTAAACAGAAAAATGACAAAGTCACACTGCCAGTCTGATGGCAACAAAATATGAACAAAATTCTGGAAGCTTGTTAGCTACACTGGTGCTTTATCTCTTCCAGGGGACTTCTGAAGCATGGCTGCCAACAACACGTCCTCCTGCGATGACCCTATATTGACGCCCCTTCTAACCAGGCTCTACTTTGCAGTGCTTGTTGGAGGGCTGATGGGCATCGTCTCCATTTTGTTCCTACTTGTGAAGATGAACACCCGGTCCGTGACCACCACGGCAGTCATTAATCTGGTGGTGGTCCACAGTGCTTTCCTGCTTACAGTGCCTTTCCGTCTGACCTACCTCATCAAGCACACTTGGACGTTTGGGTTGTCCTTCTGCAGGTTTGTGAGTGCCATGCTGCACATCCACATGTACCTCACATTCCTGCTCTACGTGGTGATTCTAGTCATCAGGTACCTCATTTTCTTCAAGCACAAGGACAAAGTGGAATTCTACAGAAAACTACATGCTGTGGCCGCCAGTACCGCCATGTGGCTCCTGGTGATGATCATTGTGGTACCCCTGGTTGTTTCTCAGTACGGAATTCATGAGGGCTATGATAGCCACCACTGTTTCAAATTCCACAAAGAACTTACTCATGCATATGTGCAAGCCATCAATTATATGGTAGTCGCTATTGTCATAATCATCGCAGTGATTCTCTTGGTCCTCCAGATCATCATCATTGTGTTGATGGCACGGAAGCTCGGACACTCCTTACTATCCCATCAAGAGTTCTGGGCTCAGTTGAAAAATCTGTTTTTTATTGGAGTTATTCTTATTTGCTTCCTTCCCTACCAGTGCTTTCGGATTTATTACTTATACACTGTGGCACACTCAAGAGACTGTAACTACAATGTTGCATTTTATAATGAAATCTTCTTGAGTGTAACAGCGATTAGCTGCTTTGATTTGCTGCTCTTTGTTCTTGGGGGAAGCCACTGGTTTAAGCAAAAGATAATTGACCTATGGAACTGTCTTCTGTGCCGTTAGCCACAGACTACAGTATTCAACATTACCTCCTAATATTGACAGTAAAAACAGGAATGGCTATTTCATTACTTGGTTAAAACCATGTCTTGATGAACCAAACAAAAGGATTGTAAAATGTCAGACCATTCATTTCAGCCTTTGTTTAATTCTTATCATCTCTGAATGATACATATACAAAGACTAGTGATGTTCAATCTACCTAGAGTTGCAATACTGCATTATTTTCCAGTATATAATGTCTACTTGGCCCATCCAGGTACTATGGGTCCAATGGTTTCCGAGTTTTACTACCTTATTTTCATTTCCTCAGTTTGAAACATGCCCTTTCCTTAGGTTTTGGACTAGACTCAGCCCTCTAATTCTTTTCATTCCACTTAAACTTAGGTAGGTTAATCCTAGTCATGATTCTACATCAAAGACACAAACTTCACTTGGCTAACCAGATGAGATGACCATTCAACTCACACCCTCACACACGCACACACACACACACACAAACATATGAGGGGGGAGAATAATATGAACCCCCCCCAAAAACCCACTTTTTTTAGATTGTCAAAACTTCGATGGGAAGTCACTAATCTAGACATCAAGAGAAACAGAGCTCTGTGACTAAACAAGGTACCTAGATTTGTCTTTTGAAAGATAAGTTTTAAGGATGAGATCACTTTCCTCAATATCTCCAAAAATCATTTAAAAGCTTACCAAATATACCTAAATAATAGTGAAACTGTAACTTAGAGAATAACCCTGAACAATAATAGGCTGCTAGGCATAAAAATTAGTTCCCAAGGGAAGTGATTAAATTTCCCCTCTTTCTTTTTCTGAAGGATTTCTACTTGTCTCGGGCCACAATTTAGATTTTCCTTGGAGACAGAAAGTTATACTGAAATTTTAGATTTCCCTTCCTCCCTTAGATACGTGTCTTTAAATAAATGAAAACAATGTTCTAAAAAAAGAACTTCTGAGAAATATATAGAAAAACCATTAAGCTAGACTATGAGATTAGACTGCTAAATTGAAACATAGGACTGTGGATTTTTTCCCTCATGCTCACATTTCGACTATTTCCCTCAAAGTTTCACAATCTTGAAACTTAGCAAAGAACTTATCCTGTTTCCTATTTGATCCTTCAAAACCTGAAGCGATTCTTGGTAGGAAGAGAAGAAATGAGTGAATTAAGGTAATTTTTTTCTTCTCCCAGCAAGGTAAATGTTTAGGATTTAAAGATTTTTCTTTATTTGTTATACCCTACGCATCCACAAATTCATCAAATGAATAAGATATCCTTGTGAATTTTATGATTATTGAAATTGCTGAGTCATAGAAATTAATTTTGAGGAAGAAAAGTGACAACATACTGCATATGTGACTTATTCGAATTTTTTTCCTGTTTTAAATTTTCTCTTATCCATCTTTTTTTCTTTTTAAGTTATAATTATTTAAAAAATTAAAAAATTATTTATGAGAATTACATTGTTTCTCTCCTTGTATATCCATGTCTTACTATCATAATGTCTTGTTAGCTTGTAGATTGTGTTAATATTATAGTCTCTTTCAGTCTTTAAATATGTTGAGGTCAGGCAAATATGCTTTTCTCTGTATTATCATATATTATAATAAAGAGCCTGTTTTACGGACCTATAAGAAATGCTATCCCAAATATAGAAATGCAATGTATAAAATATCTTATTCATTAATATTTACAAAATAAACAAACATTTCATTTTGTCAGTTCTTTGTCTCCAGTTGCTGTAAAAGTGAATCTTATGCAGGAGTAGGAGTGACATTGGCCTCTCAGGATACTTTTGGATATCACAATTACAAAAGAGTACTTCTGGCATTTGATGGCTAGGGTTAGAGGCTAGCCTTGCACACAATTAAAAATTATCAAGGTGTGCAGCCTTGCACACCTTGTCTTGCACACAATTAAAAATTATCAAGTCTGTGAAGACTTCCCTGATGGTCCAGTGGCTAAGGTGCTATGCTCCCAATGCAGAGGGCCCAAGTTAGATTCCACATGCCACAACTAAGACCCAGTACAGCCAAAGAAAGATATATTAAAAAGAAAATTATCAGGTCTTACTCTGTATTAGAATGTTCTTCAAGACATTTGTGAAATAAAACACATGATCATAAGAATCAGAGCAGTTACTTAGGTTTTGTTCACTTTTCATAAACACATAGTATTTTCTAGGTATGATGTTAATTTTTCAAAATTTCCAGAAGCGTAGCTACTATGGATATTGAGGAAAGATTTTACTCTGTTTTCCTCAGAACTTTACCAAGAATTGTTCATACCTTTGGAAAATCATATTGTCAATGGCAATACCATCTATGACATTAATATACAACATACACACCTGTAAACAATATTTGTAGTTGTATTCAGGTAGATATTAAATACAGGTGCCAACATCAGACTGCCTCATTTTGTCTCCTTTGAGATCATGTCTGAGCATTTACACACTGAAATACATATCTTTTACAAATAACTTTCTCTTTCACTGCTTATTTATGTTACAGTTAGAACATTATATATATATAATGTATAATGTATATATATAATTATATATAATATATATATATATAATTCTGCAAGAATTGAGAACCACTGAACTACCACAAATAAGGTCAGTTTAAAAGGGAGTACTGCCAATTATGACATTATGGACTGGAAAAAATACTCCTATATTTTGGAAATACTTAACCTCAGTGTTATTCAATTGTGTTTTTTCTTGCCACACCACGTGGCATGTGGAACTTCCCTAACCATGGGGACCAGGGATCAAATCCATGCCCCCTTCAGTAGAAACACAGTCTTAACCACTGGACCACCAGGGAAGTTCAGAGTGATTCAATTCTAAATTATTTTCATTACTGTAGTGATTAAAAAAGGAAAATACAAAAAGAATATATATGTATTTTTCCCTTTTTGATAAGACAAAGGCATTTCCCTGAACCGCATAACTTTCAGATTGGCTCATGATCAGCACGTCCCAGATTTTGAACCCATTGATAATGGCAATTTTTTTTTTCAAATGAAATGAATTTTGTGCGGAATGATTCAAAAAGTGCTGAAAATTCCCAGATCTTTCCCAAATCCATCTTAATGGGACTGTCATTAAACCTGCAGTCCACAGTTAACATGGCAGTTCTTCTGAAGGAGGGCAGCAGGTAAAACCGCTTCAGTCAGCAGCTCTTGAGTGTGAAGTCAATGACATGAACGTTTGTGAAACTGCCGTTTCCTAGATTTGGTAGATTTTGCCCACTTAACCTCTAATGAAATAAGTCATAAACCAAGGACTCTCCTACCTACTGGGGCTGACAGGAACAAGGAAATTCTGCTTGGAATGAAAGGTGAAAGTGAAAGTCTCTCAGTCGTGTCCGACTCTTTGCAGCCCTATGGACTATATAGTCCATGGAATTCTCCAGGCCAGAATACTGCAGTGGGTAGCCTTTCCCTTCTCCAGGGGATCTTCCCAACCCAGGGATCGAACCCAGATCTCCCACATCGCAGGCGGATTCTTTACCAGCTGAGCCACAAGGGAAGCCCAAGAATACTGAAGTGGGTTGTCTATTCCTTCTCCAGAAGATCTTTTGGACCCAGGAATCGAACCAGGATCTCCTGCATTTCAGGCGAATTCTTTTTCAGCTGAGCTATGAGGGGAGCCCCGTGCTTGGAATAGTAGCTGACTAAAGCACTTTGAAAAGAGTTAGCAACAAAAACCCTGTAGTAAAGGGGCATGGCAATGATGGATTCACTTCAATCAAGCTGCAAAATCTCAGACGGCCAAAGAGCATCTACAGATACCAGAAACCGGGCCTTGGCCAGGGAACCTGAGAAGGATTTTGGTCTTGGGCATGGCTGATCATAGTTCCATTTCTGTGATAGAACCAGAATGCCAGGCATTTACCAAAATAAAACTCAGAAATATGAGCAAGTTCTATTTCCTGGAGGGATATACATGTTGAATGGAACTTCCAGAGATAGGAGTTGAGCCCCAATGTCAAACTGTACCTGATGGAGGCTTCAACACGAGACACATTGTAAAAGAAATAGCAATCAAAAAGTATGCCTGTTGTAATAAGGACATAAAAACAGACACATAGATCAATGGAGGAGAATCAAGAGCCCCCAAATAAACCAGTGCATATATAGTCAAGGTGCCAAGAATATACAGTGGAGAGAGAATAGTTTCCTCAATAAATGTTGCTGGGAAAACTGAAAAAAACCACATGCAAAAGAATGAAATGGGATGCTTATATTGTACCATGTGCAAAAATAAACTCAAAATGAATTAAAGACGGATTCAAGATCTGAAACTGTAAAACTTTTAGAAGAAAACATAAGGAGCAAGATGCTTGACAGAGGTCTAGGCAAAAATTTTTTTGGATTTGTCACCAAAGGCAGAAGCAATAGAAGCAAAAATAAACAAGTGGGACTTCATCGAAACCAGAAAGCTTCTGTACTGAGAAAGAAACCAGCAATAAGATGAAAACTTTCAGGATGAAGAAAATATTTGCCTATATTTATATATATCTACTAAGGGGTTAATATCCAAACTCTGCAAATTACTCACACAGCTCAACAGCAAAAAGTCAAACAATTCAATTAAAAAATGAACAGAAGTAAACAGACATTTTTCCAAAGGAGACATACAAATGACTAACAGTTACATGAACAGTTCTCAACATCACTAATTATCAGGGAAATGAAACCAAAAACATAATTAAATATTGCCTCACACTGTTAGAATGGCTTTAACAAAAAAAGAATAACAAATGTTAAGGATGTCGAGAAAAAAGAACTCTTGTGCATTGTTGAAGGGAATGTAAATTGACATATCCACTATGGAAAATAGTATGCAGTTTCCTCAAAAATAAAAATGGAACTATTGGATGCAGCAAACTAATTACTGATTTTTAATATCTAAAGAAACTGAAAACAAGATCTTAAAGAGGTATTTGTACTCCTGTGCTCATTGCAGCATTATTCAGTGACAGTCAAGATATAAAACAACCTAAGTGTCCATCAACATATGAATGGATAAAGATGTATCATATATATATATATATTTATATGTGTGTACATTTCCTTGGTGGCTCAGAGGGTTAGTGTCTGCCTGCAATGAAGGAGACCTGGGTTCGATCCCTGGGTTGGGAAGATCCCCTGGAGAAGGAAATGGCAGCCCACTCCAGTACTCTTGCCTGGAAAACTCCATGGATGGAGAAGCCTGATGGGCTNTCTTGCCTGGAAAACTCCATGGATGGAGAAGCCTGATGGGCTACAGTCCATGGGGTCACAAAGAGTCGGACACGACTGAGCGACTTCACTTCACTTCACTTCATATTTACAGGGACTAGGATGTTGGGGAAAATAGAGATGTTGGTCAGAGGGTACATATTTGAAGTTATGTGAGTATGAATAAGTTTAGAGGTCCAAGGCACAGGTATGATGACTAT